TGCCCGCGCCGACGTGTAGGCAGCCCACGGCGCCGCGAGGGGAAAGCGCCGCACGGCCGCCGCTCTTGGCTGCGCCCCGTCTCGGGGACCGTCGCGACCGTGGGCGTCAATGCCGGCACCCACGGCGCGCCCAGGGACGCCCAAGGGCTGCGCCTTTGGGCTGCCGCGCCCCCTCATAACCTTCCAACGACGGATGGCCAGAGATTTGCAGTCACGGTTCGAGCGCGCCGGGCGTGCCTGGCCAATCAGCGGCCGTCGGCGCCCTCGGCGCCCTCGGCCATTTCGGACCCTCGGACGCTCGGCTCCCTCGGACGAGGGGAAAATCCCTCAGCCGAGGGCGTCGGACGAGGGGGCGGCGCCCTCGTCCCGAGGGCGCCGAGGGCGCCGAGGGCGCCACCGACCCCCCTCAACGTAAGGGTGGCGTGCGTGGGGGCAACATCATCGGCGGTCGCCGAAGCAGCTGTGGATGCTGCTCCTCGAGCGTCGTGCTCGAGCCGGCCACAGCCTATCGCGTCGACGCCGACCGGCCGCAGCCATGAGCGCGGCCCACCATCTCTCGGGTCTCCTCTGCGGGCTGTCCGTGCTCCCGCTGGACCCGCCGAGCCCCGTGTCGGCGGCCCTCGTCGTGGGCGTCGTCGTCGTCTTGGCATGTACCATCCTCTTCGACCCCCTGGGCCGGGACTGCCTCTTCCGCAAGCTGGCGCTCTACGGCCGCGGCGGCGCGCAGATGGTCGTGGGCAAGGACAAGAAGTGGAAGAAGAAGGGGCGGCCGGACCCGGCGCGCGTCGACGGCTCCAAGGACAAGCGGAGCAAGCGCGTCGTGTTCATTCGACACGGCGAATCCGAGTGGAATTTGGTCTTCAACGTGGGATCGAAGATTTGGGTGCCCTTCAAGGCCGTCGCCGCGTTGGTGCGCGAGACGCTGCTCTTCCTCCGTCTGGACGACGGCTCCGTGCTCTACGACAGCCCGCTCAACGAGTCGGGCCTCAAGCAGGCGCGAGACCTCGACGACGTCTTCGCGGCCTTCCCGCCGGACAAGGCCGGCGCCGGGGACGTCGCGGCCATGGCGGACCGCGACGCGTCCGTGCTCGCGACGTCGAACCTGCGGCGCGCGGCGCAGACCGTCGCGCTGGGCCTGCGGACGCGCCTCGAGGCGCACGGCGACGAGAAGGTCCACTGCCTCTCGGCGCTCCAGGAGATCTCGACGAACATCGACACGCTGTCCATCACGCCGCCCCACAAGCCCCCGGTGCTGCCGAACGTGCCGTCGCACCTCGCGGCCGCGGA